CAAGAATGAGAGGCGAAAAATATGAAATCCTGAAGGGATTGATAGGATGGAGGCAGAGATGATGTTTCCCCTCCTGGGAGAAACTAGAAACAGGGGGATCAGTTTTAAAAATAAGGGGTCTTCGATTTAAGATGGAGATTAGGACAATCTTGAAGAGAAAGCAGCATGAAGTGAACGTAGCAGGGGTACTGAAAGCTGCTTTCTGCCTCTTGCAAACTCAACCCGAGCCAGTGTCCACCTATCACCACCATACAGCTACCAACCCCCACTGACCCCCTCTTTATCTGCAGCTCCCCTACCCCCATATCCAGTGCTGAAGAAGGGCAATACCCAAAACATTGACTTCTCCTTTCCTCCGGATGCTGCCTGGCTTGCTGTGTTCTTCCAGCCTCCTGTTTGTCTACCCGAGCAAATAAGTGCCACTGGGAAAGAAACAACTTGGGCAAACCACAGCTGACTGAGAAATCAGGGGGATGTGCAAGTTTTGCCACTGAAGGAAACAGGACTTCAGTTGAGAGCTGTAATTCTGGCTTCACTCTTGCAACTCAAAACTTGTACCTTCCTGCCCGTGTTACATACTTCTCTACCCAGCATCTTTTTGGCACTTTAATCTGTATTTTATGTACATTTGTTGTTGCTATTTTTTTGTTTAATAAAACCCTTTCACTCAAGAAAATTTTGAAATTGGTCTACTTCATTTTTAATCTGGTTTACTAAGATAACTGAAGTGTGATAGCTACGTGCTAAAAAAGTAGAAGGTGGCATTTGTTGTGGCCGGCCGAAAGGGGGGTTTCAAAAAGATGAGAATCATGACCCCCTCCTCCCCTGGTTATAACCAATTTGGGAGCTAATTCAGTGGTGAATTCATTGACTAATGACAAATTTGGAGTGGAAACACATTCTTCCTTCAATTTAAAAAAAAAACCTACAGAAATTGTTCCTGAGACTTAAACAGTACTAAGAGGTCCAAGTTCTATCTTGAGGTTTTCTTAGAGGAGTAAGAAGTAACTTATGAAAAACTCAAAACGTTACCCTTCGATGAATTCAAAGTGATAGACAATCATTTAGAGGTGGAGTTTCACCTGAAAATCAGGAAGACAAAACTTGCAAAATGCCTAGAGCTTGAAATGGAGGATAATGAAATAGATAAAGTAATATTGAAAGAAGATTCAAATTAGAATTTCTCAAAAAGAAAAGAGGAAAGGAGATCCAGGAAAAAGAGAGAGTGGGGAGAAACCAGAACAAGACAGAAAAAAAGGAAAGAGAATTTCAGGAAAGCCATAATGGAAAAGAAAGGAGATTTAAATTGAAATAGCTCAAGCTGAGATGGGAGACTGACAGCAGTTATGGTGAGACAACCATACTTCACTCAAACTTAAGGGCTAAAGGATTCAAATTTGCCCATTTAATCCCTAAGTTTTACAAAACAAAAGAGGTGGACACCTTTATCTCTTTTGAAAGATTAGCATATCAGTTAAAATAGCTAGTCTGTTGTTGGACAGTGCTGTTATAAAGCAGGCTGTCTGGGAAAGCTTATGAGTTTACTCCCTCTTACCTGAGGAGAGTGCCGTTGACTATGAGGCAACAAACGGGTTTATTTTAAGCAGGTACCAGTAAGTGCCACAGGCATATATAAACAAAATTTTCATAACATCAAGAAAGGCCTGTCTGGACACAGCTGGGATACAAATACCATCACCAGCTTGTATTTGGCCCTGAAAATGGAAGCCAATTACAAAACGCTACACAAGGTAATTTTCCTTAACTTCAAACTCTTTTCAATATAGTGTCATAGAGGAACAGGGGGTATAAATACCCAGTCAGGAAACAATTCTAGCTGATGACTGAGTTAACACACACATCCGTAAATTCAGAGAATCTGGGGTCACGAAACTATCACTGACCAAAAAGAGATAAGGATGGGCTGAATACCCTCGCAATAGTCCATAGAGAAAAAGTGGGGCCAGATAGCGAGGGCAGAGCTGCCCCAGACCATTTAAAGGAGAGACTCAGATGAGAAATGCTTTGAAAATCACAAGTGCTTCAACTGCATAAAGCCCAGGCACATAAAGAAAAATTGTTCGTTTAAGGTTTCCCACTAACTGAAGCTGCAAGATCAGTGTCTGTAGCATTAAGGGTAATCAGTGACTGTTCAGACATGATTATGAACACAATAGCTGTCAGGAGCCTTTATCTAAAGGAATGGTGACCACTGACTGTTTTAGACAGTCAGAGAGAGAGAGAGAAATCAACATTAGCTAAGACATTAGGTGCTCACAGAGCTTGCTGGTGGGGAAGAGAGAGATTTTCTATCTGGAAGCAAATTCAATTCCAATGTACTGATTAAACAGTTCATGGGAAAGAGTATAGATGTGCCATTGGCCAGGGTTTATTTCAAGAGTGAATTTGTAATGGGTCAAATTAGCCCATGCCAGGGACAGACACTTCTTTGAAGAATGATTTGGCTAGTACCAAAATTTACTCTTCAGATAGAACAGCACTTGGAGGCCGGAGAAAGCCAGCAACAAGTGGCAGAAAAGCCAAGAACTAAGTGGTTTGGAAGGACTATGGAAGCAGCAAACCCATATGGTCTGAGATAGCCATCAGGGGTCACTCAAATTTAAACAGGGCCACAGTCAATCCAGACGTATCCAAAACGGTTAGGACAGATCCAGAAGAAGTTAAAGAGGCTGGGATTGGGGCATGATGAAAGACCAGAGAAGATGAAAATGAACAACAGGTTAGAACCAGTGATCTGACCAACAGATACCTTCATAGTAAAATTATAAGAGAGCTAGTGGATTTCTTAGTTTGGGACAAAGCGAAGGTGAGGCTTCAGTTAGTGGAAGGGCTTCAGGTTAGTATAGCTGAAGCTGAACATCATGACTGATCCACTGATACAGACATTCATCTTGTTCACGCATTGTTTCATAAAAGTCTATGAAATTGCATTTTCTTACGACCAAACAGGAGTTCAGTTTATTCATACAGAGCTTTGCTTGTTCACCTCACACAAGTTCTGTGCTCTGAACCACAGGTTGACAGACCAGATATAATTCACTCTCCAATTAGCTGCCTATTTACTCTAAACTTGCATCCCCATAGCAACCACTGGTCACAAGAATTTGGAACAGAATAGGCCATTCAACCTCTCAGGTCTGCCAGCTATTCAAAAACACAATGGCTGATTTGAGTGTAGCTTGAACTCACTTTCCTGGGATCTTACCTAACTCTCTGAATCCCTTGTTAGTCAACTATCCATCTACACATCTGAGGAAGGGTCACCGGACTTGAAACGTTAACTCTGATTTTTTTCTTCACAGATGCTGCCAGACCTGCTGAGCTTTTCCAGCAACTTTGTTTTTGTTCCTGATTTACAGCATCCACAGTTCTTTCAGCTTTTATTAATTATCCATCTACCACTGCCTTAATAATGTTCAATGAACCTACCTCCACATATCTCTGAGAATTGCAAAGACTTGTGCGTATTTTTCTGAAGTCTATTGACCTCATATCCAGGAAAACTCCCTACCTCTGGGCAAATAGGCCTGGCTTCAAGTTTCACCAGCTCCAGAGATGTGTTATAATATCTCTCTGAACAGTTCGATTAGACAATATCTCTACCTTTCCAACATTATCCTCCCATCACTTTGGTATTTAAAGGACCATCCAAAACTCAAACACAGATCTCTCCCTCAAGCCATGTGGGTAATCAAAGATGAAGAAAAATAAAATCCTTCAAACAATTATATAACAAAATCTCAATTCGCTTCAGTCATTCACTGGCAAAATAACATTTTTAAATGAAAAGACGCAGGTGCAGACAGCTATTTCTTTAGCCAGTTTACTGCTTTGTGATTTTTCAGCAAAACGTCTTCATCTAATATGTACGTGTGCAAAACAAAACACCCAAAACCGACCTTTATTCCCCAATTTTTTTGCCAGATAAAATTGAGTTTAAATTGAACTTTACGCCTGTTTCTTTAAGAGTTTAACAACGTCGACAATACTTAAAAAGGAAAACATACAAAATAGGAGGGAAGTTTGTAAGATATGAACTAAAAACTCAGTTCTTCCCACCTAATAATTAGTCACATTTATCTTGGCAATGCCAACCTTCCACCGCAGCATATCTGACCTGTACATGACCCTACAAGTATTTAATATCATCGCTCCATATTTAGTACTGACTCCAACGAATTGGATCTGGATGATCCTACACTACTGCTGTCACTTTAACCCCCTTCCTCCCGGATCTCGATAAAAGTATAACATTATCACTTAAGTGAGTTGCAAAACACACAATATTTCAGTTTATCCTTGTAATAGCCAACTACTCCCCCGAGTACTTTCGTGTCAGTCAATTCAGAAGAAAGTTCACACCAGATTTTCTGAGGAATGATACTTGCCTAAAGACATATCAATTTTTTCTGAACTTTTTTCCACTTCCGTAGGAGCAGGTTCAGCCACGATCTCCGTCATTTTTTTTTAAACCAAATGGCTGTTTGTGAATAATCCAAAGAAGTTAACAAAGTGGAGAGGACACTTTACACAGTTTGTCACTTGTCCAGCTTCAGTTGGGAATAGCGCATGTGCGGAATGCTGTCCTTGTGCTGACGACGTGACCCACACTGTTCATAAAAAGGGACCGATTCAAATATGCAGGGACTGCAGCAGATCTATCCCTTCACTTTTGTAAATTTAAACAAGGAAGAGTCACGTGGAAAAGTATTCCGAAGCTAAATTTTAACATGATCAAATATTGTCTTACTGACGAATTGACATAACGTTTAATTTAAGACCTGTGAAAGCATCTTGAATCTATTCATGGATGACCTTTAACAGACCACTTTCAACTATCATTCTAATAAATGGACTTTTTAGTTGAGAGGTTCATGTTTCTGGTCAACTGGGAGTAAAATGGATATCAAAGCTGCTTGCAAGTTTTAATATATGAAAAGCTAAATGCTTTTAAAATGTTTATTGTTTTTACTAGCCATGCATCCCACATTTAAATATAATGTAGCAGAAAACACTGCAGCTTGGAGCAGTTAATGTGAATTTTCAAAGTCCTATGTCAGAAGTGGAACTTTCCTCTCCTGGTGCGGCGACAATGGTGACGAGAAAGGTGGGAAAATTCGGTGAGAATGAAAAAATCAGATCTTGTGTCGATAATTCTTTCTTTTTGATTTTCCTCAAGTCTAAAATGACAATTTCAGAATACTGCCACTGTGCAACGTCTACCTTATTTCAATGCATTTGAAATTCACTAACAAGCCACTCACACGGAAACAAATTTGAAACCTTGTGTCTGTTTTAAAGTCAACTCTACGATAATTACACAAAATAGCTAGCACTGAAAGCAGAGTAGATGAAGTAAGTCACTGTTTCTTTCTTGAGGCATAGAATTTTTGCAATTTGAGGCCCTGTGAGGAGTAATCACAGTTGTCATGACTCCATTAATTCATTAATGCCACCCAGTTGGCTTCAATTTGAAGTTTATCATTGTCCAAGACTTATGGTCTCAAACAATCACTAGCATTATATTGTGTGCACGAACTGCCTCCTTGACATGTTATAGAATTTAATGAGAACAAGGCACTTAAAGTTTCCATTTTAGAAATATGTTCCATAGCTAACGCTGGAAGACAATATTTTGCAGCTGTTATATTCACACACTTAACTGTAAATACATTAGGACATGGTCTGTGATGTGGCAAGGTGCCTTTTCTTTGTGAGGAGGGCTATCATAGTGGCTGACTTTTAGAATTATACATCCCATATAGCTTGAAAGCATTGATGTGCATTATTAGAAGTGCATTATTAGAATTGGATATAGTGATGTACGTCAAAGCACTTATCGAAGCATAGCAATGACCTCTTCGGGAAGTCTCCACGCCACATGATGTGACGGTATAACATGAGGCTTCATTGTGATGGATGTTGGGCTGAAAAGTTCCTTTTGTAACATAATGTGTTAAAATTTTGACATTGCTCACAGATTATCGGCTCATGAATCTCATTCGGGGTTTGCCATATCTGGAATCCTTGTGTACAGGTACCCGTCTGAAGACAATGTGGAAGCAGACAACAATTACTACTTTGTCAGTGATCCCAGGAAGACCAGCAACATCTGGGAGAAGAAAGAGGGAGGAGTCACAGGCGAAGAACAGTCAAGGAGGTGGGCACATTTATCGAGATGATATGCAAGCCTCACTGTCTTTTTCTTTAACAGTCTGAAAGACAGTGCAGACGCTAATTAAGGATATCCTGGCCCATCATCACTGAACTCTGTTATCTGCCATGGATATTCCTCAGGAGGAATTGTGCTCAGAAGGACTGGGTGGCCATCCCACCCCACTGACTGTCAAGGTCACAGCTGCCCTGAATTTTTAGACCAGTGGCTCATGTCAAGGAGCAACTGAAGATCTGTGTGCTATCTCCCTCTCCTCGACCTATAAATGAATCTGGGATTTGATCTGATGTTATTTTCTGCAGCTCACAACCCTACATATCCTTCCCCCATGACAAGGAGAGTCACACAGCTCAGGCATCATCGCTGGCTTCCCCCTGGGTGCAGTACACTATCAATTACTCTCTATCACCAATCTCAGGTAAAATAAACCAAAGAACTGTGGATGCTGGAAATCTGAAACAAAAACAGAAATTGCTGTTGAAACTCAGCATCTGTGGGAAGAAAGCAGAGTTAACATTTCTAATCTGGCGAGTTCTAATGAAGCACCACCAGACTTGAAATGTTAACTCTGCTTTCTTCCCATAGATGCTGCCAGACCTGCTGAGTTTCACCAGCAATTTCTGTTTTTGTACCAGTCTAAAGAATTTGTCAACAGAAAAATCTTCCACTCCATCATTGTTCAAATTCTAGGTGACTCCCGATTTGCAGATTCTTACTGCTTCCTGTCTCCCTTCATCGTCCTGGGCCCACAGGGATGTCTGCTTAGTGCCTCCACACATGGCTGATTCCACCTTTACATAAGCCTCAGGCTGATTCAGAACGCAGACACAGGAGACAGTTAGCTTATGGCTGATTCGGCAATGCAGAGTGATATCAACAGTGTGGGTTTAATTCCCACACCTGCTGAGGTTACCAATGAAGCAACTCCTTCTCAATTCCTCCCCGTGCCTGAGGAATGGTGACCCTCGGGTAAAACTACCATCAGTCATCTCTCATCATTACCACACACTGTGCCCTTCATTACTGGAACCAACAAAGTTGGGACGCTCTGGTTGCAGAGAAAATGGAGGATCAAATCCTCTGATTTTTGAAGAGGAAAATCAGGACATTGACAAGGAGGGATATCCAAGAAACCACGATAGAGCTATGCACGGTCAAGCACATCAGATAGAACCTCATTGAAACCTGCTTCCAGATGGGTGAGATGAGTTTGGACTTCATTTTATTCTGTTACTTTTTGTGTGTTACATTTACATGTATATGTAGTGCATTTAGATGTAGCAGTATCGGCACTCCTCAAAGTTTTCTACCACTGAATACACGTTGTTGTCATCATTTGAATGTATATGTGTTATCTTTGTTTGATTTACCTTAAAGTATCTACACTTTAAGGTCCTCCTCACAGTCCAGAAGGAAGCAGCTGTCACTGACACAGATATAACATTGAGGCGAGGTGGCTTTTAAAGGTTCAGTCACACAACGTGATGTCTGGATGTTGTGCAGTGCAGTCCCTTGTATTAGGTAGGTAGAAGATTGGAAGCAATGCTGAGGCACTTCCTTTTCACCTTTCTATCATTGGTTGGTCTTTAATGTTTTAGAATTTGCATGGACTGCTGAATTGCTCTGAAATGCTTGAGAATTGTGCAGGGCAGCAGTGCAAGTAGTCTGCACAGCTTCTTTCCACAGACCACTGAGAAAAAAAGGCAGAGTAGAGATGTAAACTTACCATTGTACATCTCCCAGCCTTGACTGGCAAAGCACTTCCTTGAAAATCTGTAAGATGTAATGCAGCATCGCCTGCAGAGATGGATGGAATCATCACTAAGTCTGTCCTTTCACTCACAGGGTGCATGTCAGTGTGGACAATTTATGCACTGCAGGTCCCAACACAATCCCTTTGCATTAATTGTACAGGGCTTTGGTGAAACCATACCTGCAGTGTTGCGTGCAGTTTTGGTTTCACTATCTGAAGAAGGATGTTCTGGCTATGGAGGCAGTGCAATGAAGATTTGCTGGTCTGATTCCTGAGATGGCAGGATTGACTATGAAGAGAGTCTGGGTCAGTTAAGACTAAATTCACCGGAGTTTAGATAAATGAGGGGGATCTCATAGACACCTATAAAATTCCCTCTCACTACTTCAAGTGCAGTCCTGGTGTTAGCAGCAGGGGTAGAGGGATCCAGCTCCATAGTTGGCCCTGATGGTATGGAAGACTTGGCTGGTCATCCCAAGCAGCATATGGAGCTAGAGGGCCCAAGCCTGCTGAGAATGTCTTTGGCCAGATGTAGGCTTACCCTCCTCGGCTTGGACTTGTGCAGGCTTCGGGCTCATCTTCCCTGTACGGAATGCAAGATTTTGCAGGTCCTGTGTGTGGCTCCTCCTCCTTATGGGTGTCCACTGGCACCACGCTATCTCCCTGACAGCAAGGGCACATACTGTGAGATCACACTCCCTTGTCCGCCTCTGGCTTTTCCATTGACATTGAGAACCAGTTGTTGGCGTGATAGAGTGCAGGCCCTTGCACGTACCCAGCAGATACTGAATATATTAGACCTGGTTTTGATGGCAGTCGACAATCTGTCCATGAAGACTTCCAGATACACTCATACTAGGGCCAACACAACATTGATAACATTGGTGAACTCCTCTATCCTTCAATTTAGTTTACTGACAGCCTCTGACAAGTTTGCCTGCTGTTCCTGGGCCTCTCTGTGCATTTTAGTATGGTTACTAATGGCCAAGACCATTGGATAGTCTTCTGCCTGGGGCTGAGCAGACATCCGGTCACCAGCAATCCTCATAGTCTGAGACATGGAGCATTTCTTCTTGATCAGCTGCAGAGACATGACAGTGATCTACTCACCAAGACTGTCCAATCTAGAAAGAGAACACAGTGACGTGGAATGCTCTAAGCTTAGGGAGGATGCAGGTGAATGTATTGCTGGTGAGACTCTCAGGGTTGAGTGGTCTTTCTCAGAGATGGAGGCTGGGCAGAGGGCTGGTGGTGCTGGCCTATTTCTCACTGTGGTTTGCTGAGTCCCACTAGAGAAGACAGGGGAATTAGTTGTGGAAAAGGGTGCAAAGCACATTCAAAATAAGAATGAATTGCTGTAGCATTAACAGGAGATTGGAATGGTATAGCACAATGAAACACATCTGACTGCTTCCCCATGGTGTCCTCCATTTCACCACATTAACAGTCACCATCTTCAGCATCCTCTCCAGCATTTTCTCCTCATATGGGTGATTGACATAATATCTGCCAGAGCACCAGTCTGAGCAGAGACTAGTTAAAGGCTGGATCATTTTGTTCTATTTTCTAATGTTAGAATAGCAAAGTTCTGTTGTGTCATTTATTTTGCTTACAAATCTCTTCAGCTATCTACTCTTTCCCCTTGGGCTTACAAACAGTTTATTTTGGCTCTTTTCTTACATTCTGACTTTTGTGGCTTTGTTGTATCATGGCTTTGTCCAAGATTTGTGGTCCTAATTTCAGTTACAGATGGATTGTGAGTTTTAAATTGAGTCTCTCTCCATGTTCTGTCCACCTGCCCATAAGGCGATATGTTTTAATTTTCGCTGGTTTTAAAAAGTCGCATGACTGACGTAAGGCTGATGAATCTGCAGTTCCCAATTTTTTTTCTCTCTCTCGCTCCCTTCTTAAATAGTGGGGTAACATTTGCTACCTAGCTATTGGCACAAACCACTCCAAAACCTATAGCATTTTGTCTGCGAGACGGATACTAGTTGGAGGGAAATAGCACCTGGTGACTGCCCAAGAATTTGCCAAAAAGAATATAGTGGTAGCTATACCAATCTGAGTATGAGCAAGGAGCCTTAGTGTGGAAATAGTGGTAACCTTTCATTGAAGTTTGAAGGTTTGTAAGGATATTGTTGGAATGAAAGGAATAGTGTGAACTTGAACCCTTTTTGAATGTCTGAAATTGTTCCAAACTTTTAGAATTAGAATGAGAATTAGATTTTATTGTCAGGTGTACTTAAGTACAGGAATACAAGAGTACAATGAAAAATATACAATGTTGCCATTCCCAGCACCATCTTAGGCACAAAGGTACCTACAGACAAAATCTTAGGTACAAGCTAAAAAATAAGGAAACTTGGTAAAAGTTCAACATTAAAGTTCTTCTTAGTATAAAGTAGAAAAATAAAGAAATAAAATTAAAATTTCAAGATTACAGTGCTTATCTTGTGTAATATAATTTATGATTCTCTTACTTAATGAACATTTTATTCTTTGTGTTAAAAATACACAGGCATCCTGCTATGATGCTTTTTGGGTGTAAGTTAATTTTTAACAGCGAGATCAGTCATAATTACTAGTAAACAACTTCTCTGACCTTAAGAGATGTAATTGCAGTTCCTTCAGAAATCAATGTGTGTGGGGTCCTGATCTAGACTCAGTGTTGCTCAGTGAAGATCCATTAATCTGAATATTGGTTGAAGAGCCTCTCTGTTGCTTGCTCTGCTTGCTGAAATTAAGTCCCAACTTAAAAGGCCACATAAATACTGTTCAGTACTCAGTAACAAATGACAAACGCCACTCCTATGCTATAGATCACAAATTCCAGGCCAATATTATGCAAAACAGGCACTGAGCTCTGGAATTCCCTCTCAAAACTGCTCCGCCTCTCTATTTTTCTCTTCTACTTTTAATTGATTCTTATAACCTACTTTTCTGACCAAGCCATTGGTCAGTTCTCCCAATACTTTCTAAGATGTGAAATTTTGTCTAATAATGCTCCTGTGATGCACTTTTGAATACATTTATAGTTTAAAAGTGTTAGATAAATTCAAATGTTGTAGTTGTGCTTAAGTTTGCAGAATAATGGAACCAGGAAGTAATGCCTTGAGTTTTAAAGCAGAACAAAGTATAATTTCATCTATTTAAGTTGTACTAACTGCAGAACACTGAAGCTTCTTACTGTGAAAGTCCTTTTGCGGGACAGTTTGAGTTTCTACTTCTCTACAGTAGAGGGAACTGAAACTTATCAGTTCAAAATATGCTGATTTTAAAGGAATAGATAATGGATACACTTAATATTGAAAAATTATTTTGGTCTTAGCATATTCCAGCCATTTACTTTTGGATTTTCCATGTGCTACCCTTGTATCTTGAAATGAAACTAATGGTTTGAGGTGGAGCAACTAATTGAATAAATGCTGTTTCTACACAAAAGTCAAACCCCATGACCTGTGGCTTAAAAAAACTGCATTTTGTTTATACCACATTTAAGAGTTGACCTTCGTCTTTTTAGGGATCAAAGACTGAAATCTTCAGAACCAAAATCTAATCCTGGAGATGTTAATAATTTGATTTCATTACAAGACATGGTCCAAGCTTGATACATTTAATGCACATGTTACCTGTAGAAAATGTCAGTAGCATCCTCAGAGGACAAAGGCAAACATTGCAATTTACCAAACTACCTCTGACTCTATTTCTACCTATATTTGTACCATGTCCCCTTTCACTTCTCAATGTCTGTTTATTACCAGGTATAAGATTTCAAACCTTTGATTAAGGGAACTGCAACTTGAAATGGGAATATTTCATTGCATTTTTTTTTGTGTTCGACCCATCCCCCACCCACAGAGAATTTTATCCAGCCAAGCTTATCATGAGTAATTTTCATCTGTAAATTGATGGCCATACACACATCATGTTCAGCTTTCAACAATTTATACTGTGCTTGCATTGTCAATTAGATTTTTATATTTTGTAAGACACAAATTACTGTTTAATATCTAAATGGATTTTGTTTGCAATTACATAGCCCCTGATATAGTGAAAAGTAAAAATGTGGTAACTATTCACAGTAATTATTTCTTGACTTACACCAGAACATATTTAATATGAACAAAATTGACTGCATTGGCAGTATAAATTTTACAAATGTTTGTTCAATTATATAAATGGACTCAGTTGGCCAGAGTAGATGGAGAGCAAAATGCTGACCCATTTCATAAAAATGACTAAGAATGGCAAGTCACAGATACACGGTAATTTAGAACAGAAGCAAACATGATGTGAGAAGAAACCTTTAACGCAGGGCAATGTAAGGCTGGAAAGCACTGCTGGGAAGTGTGGTGGAGTCAGGCTAAATTGAGGCATTCAAGAGACATTAGATGATTGCTTAGAAAGAATCAATATTCAGGATTATTCAGCACAGGAGAATGGCACTAAGTCAAAATGCTCATTCAGAGAGTGCTCATTCAGAGAGCCAGTGCAGATACAGTGGGCCGAAGGGCCTCCTTCTGCATCACAACAATTGTGCTTAAAATATTATCACATAATCATGAACTGTTATGGCACAGGAATATGCTTGTCTGTTTCTTTTTGTCTCAAACTAGTTTAGTCCCGTTCTCCAGCTCAATATCCATATTTTTCATTTTCCAATTGATTTCAGTGTTCAAATGGAAATGAACAAAATAAAAACAGTTGGCCATTTAAGTCTACTTTATCAAGATATAGTGCAGCTTATGTGTGCAATCAAGTACCCCAGTCATGTAATCCTCAAGGTGAGTAAAGATAATGGTTAAAAAGTGGCATATTTATCCATGATTCCAAAAAAAAATCCAAGCTTCAGGAAATAGTAATTAATCAAAAATCATTGACTCACACCATTTTCCCAGTTTAACTTGAAGTCCTTGACTTTCTGGAATTCAACATATTTTCTTGGTTTGCTGATATTTTTTTCACTCATTGGACATGGGTATTGCTGGCTGAGCCAGCATTTATTGTTCATTCCTAGTTGCCCTTGAGAAGATGGTGATGAGCTGGCTTTCCTCGAACCGCGATGGTCCACATGCTGTAGGTTGAACCACACTGCACTTAGGAAGGGAATTCCAAGTTTTGACTCAGCAAGATTGAAGGAACTGGGATATATTTCTAAGTCAGGATGGTGAGTGGCTTTGAGGGGATACTTGTTCCCATGTATTTGTTGCCCTTGTTCTTCTGGATGGAAATGGTTTTGGAAGGTGCTGTAAGGATCTTTGGTGAATTTCTGCAGTGCATCTTGCAGATAGTACACACTTTTGATGAAGGCACTCCTGTAAATGTGTCACTTCGCTCATAAGTTAATGCGATGATAGTGCCAATAGCTAGCTGTGGTTAAGAACAAAATCTGATAAACAAACTACAATAGTTTCATTGCCTCAAAATTGAATGCTTTTATTATTCATATGCAGATTTGGAAGGAAGTTGGTGGAAAATTTAAAACTAGTCATTGGATTTAGTACAAAACTTAGGAAAACTAGCCAGCATTTGGGAAGAAAAATAATTATATGCTAATTATATGCTCAAGATACAATTATGTCGTAAGTAAACTGTGGATGCATTACAACTCTAAGCCAAATTTTCAGGCAAAGTAAGTTTTACTATGTTTACACAATTATGTGAAGTAAAATGGGAAAAAAAGACTTGAGCAAGCCCATTCTAGACACAATGAAAAAACATACGTATTAACCCATTTCTTTTGATACAGTTTCTAGTAGAAACAGAAAAAGTTGGTTCAGTTGGGAAATATTATGGGGAAATGTCTGGGAATTAAGCAAAATTCAGAGGGAACAGTAGCTTGTAATGGCTTAGAATTGTAGCTATGAACTTACCCACTTCACTCTGGAACTTATAATATTCCTTTTTAAATGGAATTAACAATGCCTACTCGGAATGTAAGCATTGTCCTTTTTAGAAGGTGATGACTCCCTATGAAAAGACAAAGATTTTCTGGGACAAATCGCCTGTTTCTGTAAGGTAAAGGTAAAGTTGCTATAGTCTCAGAGGACCATAGGGCTGCTCTTGTCCTTAGAGAGAGACGACTGGTGATTTATCTACCTCTGCCTTAAACATATGTTGCATTTTTTCGAAGGGAATTCCAAAGACTCGCAGCCATCTGAGAGAATGTTTTTATCCTCATCTGTCTAAAACAGACAACTCCTTATTTTTAAATTATGACTCTCTGGTTCTCGTCCTTCAGTAAGAAGAAACATCATTGCAATAACCATCTGATCAAATCCCCTCAGAATAGATTTCCAAATTATGTTAGTGTACGACCATGGAGGGGGAGTTTTCAAATGGAGATGTTCCCATGTGCCTTGTCCTTGTTGCTGCATTGTATTCCTGTGAGGCCTTGAAAGGTGCAATACAAATGGAAGCTATTGTGCCACAAGTAACGACAGATAAGGCCCCTGGACCGACATCCACATGGACAACTGGATCCCAGTCCCCACCTTCTATCCGCCTCCCCCTCTCTCCCTATTTATTTCAGAACCCCCTTCCCCATTTCTGATGAAGGATCTAGGCCCGAAACGTCAGCCTTCCTGCTCCTATGATGCTGCTTGGCCTGCTGTATTCACCCAGCTCTACACCTTGTTGCCCCTGTTGGAGGATGTGTTTCCCCACAGGCCACGCCCCCTAGCTGCATTGGCCACACCCTCTAGGCTTACCCTCCCCCCCCCACCCCAACGATCGAGGCGGAGCGCCGCGCCTGCGCGCTGGCGGCTCGGCGAGAGGCCCCGGACGCAATCGGGAGAGAAATGGCGGCGGGTCTGGGCGGGCATCAGCACTCACAGGCCTGGCACTCGAGGACCGCCGCGCCGCCTACCCAGCTCAACCGCAGCCTCGACAGGGTCCTGGAGGAGGCCGTGCACTCCGGAATCCTCAACCTCAGCGGTCGCAAGCTGAAGGAGTTCCCGGCCGTGAACTACGATTTGACAGATACGGTGCAGGCAGGTGGGTCGACGTCTGCGTCTCTCTCTCTCTCTCTCACACACACACACACACACACACTGTCTTTCCTTCTGCCTCAGTCCCAATCCCCGACCCCCTCAGTCCGCGGCTGCGACTCTGTCAACGAAGGTGGGGTGGGGTGGGGTGGCTACAGCAGTCAGGTGGGCTTTGGAGCTCCCTCCGGTTAGAAAGGGGCGTTTTTCTTCAACGCAACACGTACACACACAACCGCCGCAGCGCCGTCCGCCTGGAGCGATTACCGTTAAAAATCTAAAAGATAACGGTGCGGTGAAGCGGCGCTGTGGGAGCCTCCTGGCGGGTGGGGAACAATAGCCGAGTCCAAGCAGCCCTGGGGCAAAGCAGGCTGCAGACCCCCTTCATTCTCAGTGGAGCGTGACACAGTTGGGAGAGAGCGGTGGGAGGTCTCTCTTATTTTTTCCAATTTTTTTTTTCTCTCTCTCTCTCTCTCTCTCGTTTTCCACATTACGCGTCGTGATACCGACAACTGTCGATCAGGAATCACCGCGGACATAAACAAGTCCTCTTTGTGGTGGCTCTTATCGTCTCTTTCCTCCTTCCGCCTGCCGCCGCCCCCACCCCCCCCCCCCCCCCCCCCCCCCAACACCAAGTCAAAGCCTTGGGTCACTACTCATGTAACATTATCTTTTCTGTTCGCCGATTAAGATTCGAAAGCCCCAGGTTATTTGGTTTCCAGAGGATCCATTTTGCTTTCTTAAGCGCAGTAGTTTTCAAGTTCCTTCATATTGTGGTTTATTGGGGTAGAACCTTACGTGTAGAGAGAGATCCTCATATATGTAAGCATTTTACCCTAAATTCCAGGAAGTATGTTTAATTCACAAACTGGATGAACTAATCTTCACTTTTGCCCTTTGCAAATTGAGATCCATATTTTCTAGAAGTGGTGTCAGTAACATTATTTGTATCATGTTTGAAACACTTGTTTTTATGGTCTCTGATGAGAAGCTGAAAATTGCAGTTCTGTAAATCATTGTCTCCACAGGTGACCTAAGTAATAACTGCTCTCTGCTTGAAGGCACTTACAAGTTATGAGTTTTGATCTGAGCTATTGTTTATTCTGTGCAAAATAATATTCAGTGCTTGTTAACTTGTAATTCATGTGGGATTGTTCTGAGAAGTTTTTTATTGTCCTGTGGTAGTCACTGAAGTGGTTGTCTGAAGCAAATTTGTGTGACTGCATGGCTAGCAGGAACTGTCATTCATAAAAACCAAAAGAACTGCGGATGCTGTAAATCAGGAACAAAAACAAAGTTGCTGGAAAAGCTCAGCAGGTCAGGCAGCATCTGAAGGAGAAAACAGAGTTAACGTTTCGGGTCCAATGACCCGGGTCTCCGTGTTCTGAGGAAGGGTCACCGGACCCGAAACGTTAACTCTGTTTTCTCCTTCACAGATGCTGCCAGACCTGCTGAGCTTTTCCAGCAACTTTGTTTGTGTAGGAACTGTCATTCTACTTATGCCTTTTATTTAGTCTTTTGTAATTGTTTTAATTGCAGTTATCTGCCCTTCTCCAATTCTGGCTTCTTGAACATCCTTGCTTGTATCAGTGCACCATTAGTGGATATCAAGGACCTAAGCTCTGGAATTCGAAACTAAACTTATTTGCCTGTTTCCCTCACTCTTTCTTCGACGATCTCCTTTGACCAACCGAGTGGTCAGCAGCCCTAATATCTCCATATATGCCTTGGTCTAAAACCTAATTTGACAAAACTGTTGTGAGGCACCAATGGGATGTTTTGCTATGTTAAAATTCTATACAGTATTTCAGTATTCAGTATTTTAATCCATACATCTTTTCTTTAGCAAGAATCTGACCAAATTAATATATATTAGGATGAAAGTATATGGTATCCCACTTCTTGTGTAATTGAGGTGGTTTTCTGATGTGAACCCTGGCAAGTCAGATGATAGCAGCCTATGATGGAGAAAGCAATGTAGCAATATTAGGCAACAGTATTCAAAGAAATATTAAATTCCTAAACTGGAATGGGTCCTGATCACTTAAAATGTATGCATAATTGCAGATGCTTTGGTGTATTTACAGGTTCATATGTACAAATTTGAATTGTAAAAATTAAAGCTGGGTGTCCAATTGAGCTTAATTTTAAAGACAAAGTAGGGAAATGACTGCCGTGTTTTCTTTTGAAGACTGATTTTGTGTTGGACGAATATGTATAAAAGGTTACAAGTCTTTATCAATTGTACAAGCACTCTGTTTCATAAAGTGTAAAATTTCTGAGGACTAAGTTATGTTGAAGAATAAACAGAAATTCTGTACTACCTGACAGTGCTTTCAACTGAAAATCAAATGTATGAAAGTCAAAAATGGCAGATGCTGATTAACCTACTTCCAGAAGCTTGTTTTGAGATTTCCATACTTACACATTTTTAAACATATAAATAAGGAATCCCTCATTTAGATATTATATTTTATGCAATCGTAGAATAAGACTATCCAGGAGGTTATTCAGCTTATTAGTTCTGCGCCAACTCTTTTGTTAGTCTCATTTCTCAGCTTGTTCTCTATTTAAACAGTTCCTTCTTGAAGGGTGATGGTCTAGTGGATATTGATTCCATAATATCTGATCATGCAGTACATTCCAAATCTTAACCACATCTTAGATTTATTTTAGAATTTTTTCATGTCATTTTGACAATTATCTTAAATCTCTGCCCTTTGAGCAACTTTGTTCAGTTATTGGAAACATTTTCTCTCTCTTTACTCTAAGTTCTTTAGAACACCTCTGTCAAATCTGTTTGATCTTCTGTATTCGAAGAAGATCAAAGCTAGGTTCCAAGCCCATCCAAATAATTGTAATTTCTCATCCTTGGAATTGTTTTAGTTTTTTTTCTTGTGCCCTCTCCCAAAATCTGCACATCCTTTCAAAAGTGTGATTCCTAAATTGAGTGCAGTTCTCCACCTGTGGTTGACTTGATGCTTTATATAGTTTTAGTATAACTTCCCAACTTTTGTAATCTCTGTCTCCAATTATAAAGCTCATAATGCCAGATGCTTTATTAACCTGCGTGGCCATCTTCAGAAATATTTGCAACAGCTCCAGGAACCTGCTTTCTTGTACTCTATCAAAGAATTATTTCTCCTCATTCACTTAACATTCCTGCAGTGAATTTATTTCCCTGTCCATTCCACCAACCTCTTAAAGTCTATGATACCTTCTTCACTGTTTTTATGGCATTTTAATTTTTGCAGAAAAACCAATGAGAATCAATTAACTACTGAAGACACAGGTGAAGTTTATTTGGTCAAATTTAATCCAGACATGCATGCATGCATGTATGAGATACCATGCCCTGGATGAGATTATCGGAGATCCAATCTTTGGTGAGGTTAGAGCTTTAGTAATAATAGTAATGTTTGGCATCCTGAGTCTCAATGTAGCAGCAGTCATCTCATTTTGACATTATAAGGTGTGGAGCTAGATGAACGCAGCAGCCCAGGCAGCATCAGAGGAGCAGGAAAGCTGGCGTTTCGGGTCTAGACCTTCTTCCGAAAAAAGGTCTAGACCCGAAATGCCAGCTTTCCTGCTCCTCTGATGCTGCCTGGGCTGCTGTGTTCATCCAGCTCCACTCCTTGTTATCTCAGGCTCCAGCATCAGCAGTTCCTACTGTCTCATTTTGACATTACTAGTTTGACCATGTAAGTTCAGCATAAATCTGAGGCTACGTTAATGAAATACAATCTTCTGCTCAGGCCATATGAAAACATCCTTGCCCTTGAGGTGTTGTAAAGGGGTGGCCTCGAGACCATTGATGTTGGAAGCTAAAGGTGTGGTTTAGGAAACTGTGGAATCGATAGGAATAAGAAAAGCAAACATTAACTGCAGGGCAAGAAGATATTAGACATGAACTGCTAAAAGGCAACTTAAACTGACA